TTCGAAACCAAAATATCGACTGAGTGCGTTGACAAGAGCGTGGGTGATCAGGCCAGCTTTCGCCAAAGTTGACTGAAGTCGACGATACCAAACGGGGATGGTCGGAGGCGTGGGCTCAGGATACAGAAAAGAAATCGAAAAAAGGGAAGTGTAGCATGCATGTAGTATAGGAATAGTCCTACACCGTATCGGTTTTTAACTGTGTGGCTAGTCGCGGAAGCGTACGGGAAACCGTACTCGGCGACCGGAACGTAAGACGGTAGTTTCGTTCGTATCGCGTGAGCCTGCAATCTCATTCGAAGTCAAGGGCGGAGTGGTCTGCGGATCTGGACGTGAGACTGTCGTCTCTTCCGTAGATGGTGCAGATGACACGTGCTGTTGACCGGGACGTGAGAATGAGGTCTCAGATGTATCTAGCGTGGGATCTGAAGAAGATCTAAGGATCCCGCTAGTAAATTTGATAGGTCTAGAATTGAATCTCAAGTTATCAGATAGGGCATTGTCATCGACGTGTGCTGGTTTGGGACAATCAATATTGACGATCTCGATGCGGCCATGTCTTTTCATGACGAGCGATCACGTGAAAAGGGCCTTCGTAAGGCTGTTTCAAAGGTTTGCGTACCGAATATACTCGTATGAAAACATGTGGACAGGTAGATAACTCTCGAGGGAAGAGCGACCTGTCTATGTTGTATTCTAGTTGACACCGGAGGCAGCGTTCGCATAAATGCAGACAGTCGTTGGACTTAGTCTGATTTACCGAAATCGTTACTGCTCCGTGGTGTGAAAAATTCCCTGGGCTGACGCAATCTCGTGCCGTATACAAGTTCAGGGGTAGAAAATTGGATGTCTGCCTTCAAGCTCGTTCTGATGTCTAAGAGAGCAAGCGGTAAGGTTTCGTACCAATTGTCGTTTTTGTGTGCTCGCAGAGCACTTTTAAGTTGGCAATGGAACCGTTCAACTTAACCATTTGATGCTGGGTGGAAGACGGTGATGCGTATGCGTTCCGTACCGAGCAGCCGGGTCAGCGAGGAGAATAGTTAATAGGGGAAATTTTCTCGAATAAAGCGTGGGATTTACTGTCACGCGAATAAAAAGTGCCAAGGATTCGGTACACGTACGTGGGAGTCTATTATATTAATACTACTGTAGTCGCTATCCGTCATGTCAAGTATATTATATATTAAAAAATAATAAGAAGTTCGATCATACAGAGCCTGAAATGTCCTAAGTTCTTGTGAGTTGCTCAGTGTTTTATTTTTCTTACCCTGAAAGTCCTACAAATTTATACTCTTTCATATCCTTTGGTTTGCTATTAGTCCTCACCATTTTTAAACCACATATAATCTAACCTGTTTTTTAACTTTTACCATTATTTATCTTCATAGCAGTGTGATATACTAAATGGATGTCTAACCCATAATACAATTTCTTTAACTATCTGATTCGCCTGTAACATGGAACTAGTAGAGACAGTGTATCCCAACTATGGGCTTTGATTAAAGCAAAATTCATACCACAAACGTAAGGGAGTCTAACATCACAAAAGGAGGGGGGGTGACGTTACTGGTCAGCAAACATGATAATGAGGAGATAACTTCAATCCACCCATGTCCGTGAGGCAGAACATTTTGTTTAATTACGGCTCCTTATGGTCTAGTGGAATGTCATTAACCAATGGTATTGATGCTGATTTATTATGCAAAATACTCCATTAAATCGTGTTTAGAACGCTGAATTGGTTTTAATTCCTACCGAGTAGTCCTATTACAAGCAATTAGACAATTCGCTAAAAGCGATGCCTGCTCAAGACCCTATAAAATCATGTGTGAGTACACAAATAGTAATGGTAATTATACGTCGAAGTTGGCTTTTCCAAACTCGATCCTGCTAACCCTTATTCAGATTATATTCAAAGAGAATAATATACAGGACGCATCCAACCAATACGACTGAAGGGCCAGTGAAACAGCGAATAGTAATAAATTACTAGGACCTTGGTTGATTGTAAAGCGATTAACCATAAAAATAATTTCAGAAAAACAGAACGTTTTGAAGTTCTACCAAAGTGCGTTGAAATATACAGTTTTGACGAGTGATTGAAGCCCTCAGATGAGAAACGTTAAGCTCGCCGCAAGAGTAATGATGCTACAACAATAGCATGATAAGTGTATTATCAATCAATGTCGATGTTTGTACCATTATTGGTTTAAAGTGTGACGTAAGACAGTGTCGTTGGAAGCTTCCCTTCGGAAGTGTCGAACTCTATTTAAGGGTCGAAGACTACAGATGGAGAGCGAAGGTGGACTGATGAAGTGTTTAAACGATTATGTTTGTTCGATAAGTGAACCGAAAAGTATCGAAAAAAACATAAGGAACCAAGAGTGTCACTCTGGACTCATGTCAATGATACCAATGAAAAACACTGTCAGTGTCGGGCTGGGGGCGAAAATGTCGTTTTCAATTTGCAGGAGATTCTCTCGACTGCGTAAACTGATGAATTGCGCGAATAACATTGTTGTCAGACGACCTACTGAACTGGACAGCTTTTAAATCATCGAGTAGTTGAACGGTTGATTGTCGTGCCGACATCATCATTTAGATAACAGGTGCGAGGAAACAATACCTACTAAAATAATGAACGACGCCGAAATTAAATAGCTACAATAGTTCGGGTGTGTTATAACGTCACATCGAAAAAAAATCGTTCTTGCGTATATTGACAGTTGCACTAAACGTTTGTTTAGGTATTATTATTGTAACAGTCGGATATGGGAATAAAAACATATACGTAGACTGTGATGGCGTTCGTGGAGAATTTTAGAGGTGGTTTAGGTATTTTCTGAACTTGTATTGCATCTAGATAAACCGAAAATGGAATTAAAATGACTTCCGTGTAATAAGGAAGTTCAGTCATGATTCACCGTGTCAGATAACAGAAAATGCAGAGCGTATAGTAAACATTTATTAAAATGGTAATCACCAATGTAACTAAGGTTTAGAAGGTTCAGATAACGTGACCATTTCGTAAAAGGTTGATGCAGTGAGATTTTTATCTAGCGTCAAGTAACATATTACGTACGATGAAGTGTCTAGTTAGCACATGGCCTAAGATTGCTCGTGTACATGCAATGAGTTTTCCCACAATATGTCGGATTACGAGTCATAAATTTACATGATTTCGACTAGAAATCGATGGCAGTGACAGAATATATGACTACTCTACGTGAAAGCAACTACGAAACGTTATCAGGCATCATAAACACAGCACGAAAGTATCCAATGCAATTATGAAACTCGCCTGGGTTACTTTCGCTTCCAGGTGCTGGAAATTTGAAGAAGACAGTAGTTCAAATCTGGATTATATACGAGGTACTGTAGATTAACACAGCGTTGTAGACTGAATTTGTATAAGTCCAGAAATAATTTAAGCCAAATACGTAGCACTGCCCGACGAACAGTCTAAACGAGACTAAAGATTGCAGGAAATTTATATTTTAAACTCATCGTAAGTTTCTAGCATTCGTATCCTCTGTTTGATCGTGGAACTCAGCAACTGGAAATTAGGCAGGCAGTGGTCGCGTAATTAAAAACTTCTAGTAAATAGTTGATAGTGGTTAAACAGAAACATGAATTTACAATCGACAGTGAATCTTGTCTCGCTTATACAATTGGATAAATTACAAACAGATGTGCGTTCATGTTTCCTTGTGGCCATACTTATGAGTGGTTGATATTTTAACAGACATATTACACAAAAGCATCTACAAGCTGCTAATGCTCGCTAAAGAGCCACGATAGTCAACTAGACGGGAATAATGTGACCAACAGCTAACGTCGTAGTCACACCTCTCAGTCAGCACTTAACATGGATCAACCTTTCGTCTTATCAAGGTACTATGGATGCTTTGAGGACTGTACAACACGAAGGACGTTGTTACAGAAATATATCAGTGAGAATAAGCACAAGAGAAAGTGTGACCACCACCGCATGGGCCAGTTCATGGCGTACGATCAACTGATGCACGTTGGTTGTCCTTTACCTTGAAAGGGATCGATGATCTGTCCGATATTCAGTGACCCAACTGCTTGATGCTTTGGCCAGGGCTCAGTGACATTTCACTGGCCCTACAGGACTTTAACCTAGGTGGGACAACTCACAAGCATATGCAAATAGAAATACATTGAGCTAGTTGAGTGTCTGTTTTCCATGTAAAGTGATTGGGTGAATTAAAATGTATTTATTTTGAAAAGGTCTTTATCTTCTCCCAGCAACATAGTTTTGTATGTGTGTGAAGGTATAAACTACTTTACAGAGGACTGTTGAACTTCTCAACGAATAAGGATTTGTAAAAAATCATAGAGAATTAATTACATACTAAGTTTAGGTTAACTACTTTCACAGTGTCCAACGAATAGAATCTATTGATATGAAACATGATCACATTAAACTTATTCCACCTATCATGCTAAAACTGGAACGGGTTTATTACAGCATCCGGTTGTGATAGCTTAAATTTACCTTAGAGACGTCAAGGATATTCAGGGCTTGACAATGCTGTTATCTGTAGCACGTGTATGGTCAAAGGATCCAAAACCTAGTTAAACCAGAAGTTATGAATGCAGGAGTTTGGATATATACTTAGAAGGTAGTCAGTATGTTAAGAGGTATTTGGTCCAAGCTGGCTAGTTGTTACCAGGGTTGAGTGGCATGACGTACTGTATGATAATCTGATGAGGATTTATAATCAAACGCCTTAAGCAGGAGTGTGTCCAGTAAAATTACTGAAATCAAGACTAATTTCGAAGGCTCACAGAACTAGTTATATTTGGGATTTATTTACCGCTACAATCTTAGAGTCCTTGTAGGTATCGCCGACTACTTGTTAATGTACATGAGAAGCCCATTTAGTTAAAGCTCTTATTCCGTTCATAGTCATTCGAAATTATTCTGTCTAATTGATTTTATTGATATTTTACACTTATTTGTTGTGTTTGTAGTTTTAAACGATAGACGATGCTTCCTCAAGGCCAACCAGCCGGGTCGATAATACTGTCCGGCGTGTTATGATCCAGACTCCAAAGCAGTCACCTGTGTACTGTCCTGGGCATACACGTCCGGTCGTTGATATCTGTTATAGCGGAGAGACAGATTGCGGACATCTTTTCATCACTGCTTCAAAAGGTACGTATATTAAACAGGACTGCATGGTGATCATGCAAATCCTTATTTAACTGTGCTCAAACAATCTCGACTTATGATAGGGATAAATGTTAATGGTACACAATTCAATGCCGTTAACCAAAATATCGGATAATTAGAACGTAATTATGTCCAGCCCACTGGTCAATTCCAGAGGGGAATCCATTGACCGAAGGTGGTGAGACCCAATCTCATTATCTTGGAGAAAATTTTGGGGTTTTTGTGCCATCTTCCCAAAGTTTTTCATAGCGGTTTCCCTAAAGTAGGGAGACTGAGGACCCTTAGAAGGTTCACCTACTTACAAGATTCAAAAGTGGGCCATAAATTAGTACTAGTATTAGGTTGTAACTTTGGAAGTTAGTGTTAGAAGTTAGATTTAGAGTTCCCGTCACAAAAGGACATCAGTCATGATGCTAAGATGCTGTCTAGACTTAGTAATTAATAAGTTTTAAGCCAAAATCGTAGACTAACACCAATCTCATTGGTTCATTCATAGATTAATTTTGCCGCTAAGCCATCTGCCAATAACCCTGTGAAATGGTGTGTGGTTAAGACCTTTAGGCAGTTTCAATGGCTGTATCTTTAAATCAATTTAACAAACTTGTCTTAAACCATTCTGATTCTTGTAATAATCTATTTACATATTTCAACCTCTTTTTCTTTATACTACTCAATTAGTCTGAACGTGTTTAGATGAAATTTCATCTTCAGCATATTTCAAAACTAAGAAATATTGCTTACTGAGTGTTGTAATAGTAGTCCAAGACCATAAGGTGGCTCATTTTCAAGGACATATCTCCTATACTCACACGACTACATACCTTGGACCCAGGATCTTCTAACCTTTGATTTACAATTACCGCACCTTCATAGACGAATTTCAGCTTCATTAGATTCAGTTGTTGGGCCTGTTTGTCAGTCCATCCTCTGAATAACTTGGTGTTGGTTTGACCGGCCTCAGAGTTTGACTTGGGGGAGTTCGGGGCTAGTCATAGTTTGGCCATTCTAGCTCTTTTCATGTGTGAGGAAGTAGAGACACTGTAGGCACTGGTTGTTCGGGCTAGGTGGTTTATTACCACCACTTCATTATGGTTATCATTAGGTCCTTTCTAACCTTGACTTCATATTATATAACCGGGTTGAAATCATTCATTTTCTATAGTTCCTAAGGTTTTTTAGATCTTGCGTTTTGTTCTTCACTTGTTAAGTTTCTGATTCGCCTTACATTTTCTACTAGTCTTTATTTTGCAGCAAATAGAAACAACATATAACCACTTTCCCAACAAAGACCAATCAATAAACAATAAGGCAAAGAAATAAAACAACAGGGAACTAGCAATTGTAGAACTATTCCCAGATTAAAGGGGGACCACAATAACTTTTCCTCCACTTATCTATTTTAAGCTATCTGAAGTCCCATCATCTGATATATTGTAAACAGAAAGGTATCAGTCTCCACTTAAGTTCAAATCAAAAATCAAAGACTGGGATTTCACCATAATCTTTCAAATGGTCGTATTCTAGCCGTAAACCATCGACTACTTCAGGGGACGAGTTATGGAAAAGTTATTGTCAAGTGACCTTACTTTCATAGCGCAATTGTCATGTGCAATAAATGTTAGTCTAGATAGATTTTATTTTGTGTTTAAATACCATCAGTGTCTATTTTATTTAATTTTGTTTTTCAGAACACAGATCACTTAATTTCGTTTATTCTTTTATTTCAGATGGTAAAGCAATTCTGCGCCAAGGTGATACAGGAGATTGGATTGGAACATTTTTAGGTCATAAAGGAGCTGTCTGGTCGTGTGTCTTAGACAAGCATGCTACTAAGGCTGCTACCGGGGCGGCGGATTTCACTGCCAAAGTATGGGATGCAAACTCCGGTTCGGAGCTCCTTTCAATCACCCAAGATCATATTGTTCGGTGCGTTGACTTAAGCAAAACTGACTCAGGCGCAAAATTACTCACTGCTAATAACTGGAAAAAGATTTCGGTCTATGATCTAAACGCTCCTAAATCACGTAAATTATTTCACTTTCGTGTTTGAGATTATGTTCGTCTGGTGTTGCATAAATTATTTTTATGATCTCATTAATACCACTCATGTTTTTTATCTGCCTCATTTAGCCATATCCGTATTCGGGGGACACGAACAAATAATTCGTCGACTGCTATGGTGTGGCGAAGATAAACTTGCTTTATCCATATCAGAGGATAAAACTATCCGGTTAGTGCATCAATTTAGTTTTTTGTTAAATATGTAGGTAGTATGTACTTGGGTCTCACAAGTTAATTCAGATGTAACTGGTGAAGAATTTGCATCTTATTATGTTTCAGTTCTGCTCAAAAGCACGTCCTAGATTATTTATCTTTATTTGAACACATATTGGTGCAAGGGGGCACCAGATATATATGCTCCACACACGTAACGTAATGGACAATAAATGTTTGCATTTACTATTCGATTATGCCCTTCATTTTATAATAACCTTATTAGAATAGAATATCGATACAGGTATGCAGATGATTTATGTAACGTAAAATCAAACAGAAAAGTTTGGGCTACCACATTATATAGCAAATCACAAAAGCTGATAAAATAAAATTCAGAGTAACCAATAGTCAACATCTTATGTTTAAACTTTTATATGTACTTATCAATCTCGGCTAATGAGATATTTAATGTAAGGAGACCTTAAACTTCCGATCTTCATTCTAGTGTTGACAGTGTAAAATCCGTTCTTTAGTAGGAAGTAGATATGTTTGATTTTACACCCTGTTCACGCTAATCAGTAAAATTTGTTCAAACAAATGTTGGTGCAAAGGGACACCAAAATGTATTTGCGCCACAATGAAAATGAAATTTTGAATAGGTAACGAAAAAAATAAGTATAATACAAACGAACGAAAATAAATAAAAATTGGGAAGCAAGAGTGGAGAAATAACGGAAGAAGCAGTTGAAAAAAGCCCGTCTAGTAAAGGTTCATTCAATCCAAGAAGTTCTCTTTTGTTGAAACAGTAGTTGTCAAACGCTTTCAAACAACCCAGTCAGTTAGTTCCCTAACCGGATGGCCACGACCGTCCTTAAAAAGGCCCGGAGGTAACTTAGCTTGGTCTGGTGGAGTTGGAGTTCCTTGCGGATTTTCACTTCGTTTGTCTGATCAGTTGATACAGGATAGGCAAGACGAAACAGTCTGGTCGATGTCGCCAGGGCAACAGACCAGCTGAGCTGTTCCTCGACGAACTCTGCCTGTCGTCGAAGACGTTGAGTTTGATCAGCTCAACAGGTTCACTCACACCAGATTTTTTCAGTGGCTCGAATGAATTGAAAGAGCGTCGTGGAGTTGTCGGATATAGCTGCTGCCTCCAACTCGTTAGCATGCTCCAACCATCAGGCTTTTCGGTTCTCACGTAAATTTTACTACGTAAGTCTATTTCACGGTTAGCCGAAGTAGACCGATGTGCCTCAACGAATTGTAAGGAGCTTATTTAAATTTAATGCTTATAAGCGAGGTGTTTCGCGAAGCCGCAAGCAATCCCCATTGCGTCACAAAAATTCAGCAGCAAATAAGTAGTGTACTTATATGCCTTCACATGAGTCAATACGTCGTAATTATCAGTCTACGAATTTAAAATATCACCGGTCATGACAAATTTGATCTCTTCTTAGTAGTCATTTCCCGTATTCCTTGTGTGTTGATTTTATTATCACATTCTGTGCAGAATATTAACGGTTTGACATATTCTCATGCATATAGCTTGTGGGATCTCCGAGATATTCTGAAGCCAGCTGCAGTTCATCAGATATGGTCCAAGGAATTATCAGACCCAGTCAACGATATTCAATTCCATATCCCTTATAATGAAGATCAAGTGAAAGCTGTGGTAGCATGTGGAAACTCAATCCAGACTTATACGTTTGACTGGCGTTATAGCAACGTGATAGAAGCACCTGAAGCTTTCCCAAAATTCAGTCTATCGTGTCCAGTAAATTCTGTCAGCTTGCATCCCACTGAAAAATTACTTGTATGTGGTGGAGATGATCACATAATATATCGATTAAATTCGGAAACTGGTGAAATATTAGGTAATATTCTGGGATGCTTTACTATATTAAATTATTTCTGAGTATTTTATGGTACAGCGTTGTGATCTGATGAATTAAATGAGTTTTTATAACTTTGACTACCATAAACGATGAACGAATCTAGCTAAAAAAAATTGTTAGATCCGCCCATGGAAGACAAGCGTATAAGTGTATTTTCAATGTTTATCAAAACAGAACAATTAATTAGCGTATTAAAACGTCGACAACATAATAAGTATTGAGCAGTTTAGTAAGCCTATAAAATATAACTCATTTACATTCAAAATAATAGGTTTCGCAAGCTATTCGGGTTATGTGACCATCCATATCAATTTGAAGTAAAATTTGGTTCGCTTGAGAAATTCCCAAATGAATGTAAGAGATACTTTTACATGATGAACTACTACAACAGTTTGTAATTGAAACGCTTAATAAGCATATGGCTTACATCAAAAACCAATGCTGACTAGTATTGGGGATGGTTGTGTTGTGCCAGAAAAACGCTGATCACTTATACTAGGAACGGGGGACCCCTGTAATTCTCACAATGCGAAGTAAGAACAGAAAGACTGGTATAAGTGAAGATTTGTTTGCCCCAAAACACGACGACTGGTTGTATTTAAAACATATTGAACAGAGAACCAAGTAAAATTGACCAGATAGTAAGGATAAACGCCACTTGGTTCGAAGTCATCAGAGTTTGAATCTTCTGAGATACCAATTTTATTAGGAGCCTCATTTGTAGATAATGGATCATTATAGTAATCAGCATCTATAGAAATTGTATTAGGTTTCTGACCATCATTCGATGCATCTGACATATTTTCTGGTAAAAGAGAATCTCAATAATAAGATCCATCAGAAACTTCTGTCGCAGAATGATGAGACCCATTTGGAGCAGCTGCATTCAGTGTACTGCTCGGTTTTTGTGTTTCATGGTCGGTTATTGAGACAATTCTATGAAAATTCGACAGGGCGTCTGTTTGTGCGCTGGATTAGTCACTGTCTGCACATGCTGTTTCTGGAATAATGGAGTTTGAGTCCATTACCGGGCATGTTTCTGGAATGGAGAGTACTGGACCACCGGGCGGATCTTGAGTGACTGTTGTACCGTTTGAAATACGGTTTATCGAGGATTCATTGGGGCTGCAATCATTTTCCAGCTCTGTGTGCAGTTGAGAAATCAGTCCATCCACTTCCGTCGCATCTCCAAAGCATGAGTGATTTAACAGCTGCGTGCGTAATTTGACTAAAAACTCCAACTGTCTTTCAAATAGCAGCTGTACTCGATCGGAAGGGAGAGTCATTATCTGAATCAACACCGGTAATGATAATTACTGTGATTAATGACCAATGTCGTTGAAGGACACTGATGACAAATTTGGATGCTGAAGGCTGACTTTGGATTGTAATTGGTTTACCCCGTCGCCGCCAATTGTTGTGCCAGAAAAACGCTGATCACTTATACTCGGAACGATGGGTCTCTGCAATTCCCACGATGCGAAGTAAGAACACAAAACTGGTATAAGTGATGATTTATTAGCCCCAAAACACGACGACTAACGATGATCAAAATAGTCTAAAATACACTGGTTTATATATTGATTTTACACCCATTTTTGATTAATAATTAGAATAAAATCACATGTATGAAAAATACTTAGTTCTAACAAATCACATACTGAGCATAGTTCATGTCAATTTAATACAAGAATATCGTATATTATATAGAAGAAAATATCATACGACAAAAGAAAACAAATACTACCGTGAATGATCATCACATTGAATTAGAATGGATGTAATGTTGAATAAGACTCATAATGAATAAATCAATCGAAAATTGATTTTCTTTTCTTCCTATCATATCAGGTTGGAAGAAAGTTATGGACGGCCAAACCAAAACGTGGCATCAGTCCTTAAAGTCACTAACCTCTAGTCTTAGCCATGTTGGTAGATGCAGATTACTTGGTTAGGGTCCACATGACTATCGTAACATTGGAGACTCTGGGTGACATGGTTCAGAATCGATCACAGTGGTGTAGGTGTATACAATCTTTGTATTCCCTTAAACCGCAAGATTAAAATTGCTTTATATCTTTCTCTCTACGAACTAATTCATTATTCCTGTATTCTATCTTTATACACTATTTTTCTTTTGTATATTACTACCATTGAAGTAACTACTATGAATTTGATCTTCATCTTGTGCTAATAAGATGTGGCAACTTGGACCGATGCATATATGTGCCTGGTCCTACGTTGTAGCTGACTGGCAGATCAAAAGACAATTATCGTTACCTCTTAGGTGAAGGTGTCATGAAATAAAGACTTGCTGATTAATCCGCTTTGATTCTACATCCAAATGAGTCTAATTTTTGAGTTGTTGATTAATGATCTAGATACAAATGATATCCATATTTTACATTGACTACTAGACAAAAAGTGGTTTTCAAAGTGTAATATACATGCTTTTGAAAGCCGTATGGCTGTTACTTTCCCTTTAAAATTCAGTCATTTTTCAAGAAATATGGTGACATTATATAACAGTTTTGTGGTAGAATGATTTTTCAGATCGTGTCATAAGAAAAAGCATTTTATGGTTTGTGCAACTTTCTTCCTATCAGTATATATTCGAGTCAAATAAATCTAAGTCATTCAGTGTTCTAAATCGTCTACTTTACAATCCAGCTCTAACGTTTATCTAGTTAGTTTATGTTTTATTTCTTTATCCTAGAAACCTGCAAGGGACATTTTGGCCCTCTACATTGTGTTAGATTTTCTCCTGATGGACACGTTTATGCAAGCGGTAGTGAAGATGGCACTGTTCGTTTGTGGCAAACTGTTGTTGGAAGTGACTTTGGATTATGGAGATTGACTGTACCGAATGAAGTTTCTGCTGTTAATTGCTCAAATTTATCTGTATCTGCCAAAGATCACTGTAGCACGAATTTAGCCGAAGTACCAGCTACTGGTGATACTAATAATAGTTGATCCTTTTACATATTTTTTTCATTATGAATCTCACCAGAAATATTATTGTGGTTTTTATAATCCATACCATTATGTTAATGCTATAGTAAATTTTAACCATAAACTACTTCTGCTGAGAAATAATTAAGAGGACTTTGTACAGTACTGACTTCAGTTGTCAACCCTGTCAACAGTTTTATGAATAGAATATTTTTGATAAAATATAAAATTTATTTACTCGTAGTTTGTTTTATTCGCACTGCAGATCATTAAAATCAATGCTCAGTATTAGGGTGTGTAAATTCTGTTTCTCTTCAATTGTATTAGCTTCTCTATAATGCTTATATTGATATTTCGATACCTCATGGAGTGTAAAACGATCATTAGTCAAAATACTTCAAGAACAATGCCTGAACTACCTCGTCTTATTTACTCTGGTCTAGATAACCATGCGGTATTGCGTGCATTCATATAGTATGGTTTGAAACTGGTCATGGATTTCATAGTTCGTTATTATTACAATCAGGATAATATGGGGGAGATAACTGCTTTATTTTAGCTAACTTGAATAACTTAAAAAAGTGGACATGTAAGATTATTTCATTAGTTTACTTATTGTCATAATTCGATTCCGAACTTTATTGGTTTCCATAAAAGTAAACTCAATTGGAAGTTGAGGGAAAGTCATTGTTTTCTACGCGTTACCTTACGTTTACCTGGCCATAGGAACTAATCAGGATCTCGTCCCAGTATATTCGGAATAGTAATTCACGATAATATAACATCCTTTATTTGTGAAATCGTATTGAAATGAACCGATGCATATTGTTTATTACCAACAAGGGGCACACCAACTTGTAGGTAGACATCAATCTGTCAAATCTTCACAGTCATTTCTTAACTAAAAATGGTCATTGTGTTTTGAAACGAGTAATAACGGTGTTAAAATGCAAAGTCGGAATTTTATGCGCAAAGCTCATTCAAAAGAACTGCTGGATACTGCAGTACATCTACCATACTGGGAACATAATATAATTACCTGATGTGGCGTCTTTCGAAAGAATAGCCACCCAAGTAGTTATATAGTCTATAAATTTTAAGAGCAATGTACAGATGAGGATTAATTTCTTTCCTATTGAGTCAAATTTAATTACGATGTCTAAAACACCTACAAAGTGTGGTCATTCTTGGGATAGAAAATGTGTGATTCCCACACAACAGTAATTAAACGTCTGATACTTTGTGAACTTAAGCAGCAATCAATACCAGCCGAACAAGAGCAGAAAAAGTCAAGGTACAAGCTGAATACACAGAAGTAAACAAACAAGAGAAGAGGAGCATCAGAACCGACACGTAAATATGTGGAAGATCTAGCAATGATGGCGGAAAAGGCTGCAAGAGAAGGAAACATGAAACAATTGTATGATACAACAAAGAAGCTCGCTTGAAATTATCGTAAACCAGAACGACCAGTGAAAGGCAAAGTAATTGCCAACATTGAAGAACAGCGAAACAGGTGGGTAGAGCACTTCAAAGAACCCTTGAATTGACCAGCCCCACTGAACCCACCCAACCTTAAAGCAGCGCCCACGGACCTCCCAATTGATGTTGGCCCACCAACAATTGAAGAAATCAGCATGGTCATCAGACAAATCAAGAGTGGCAAAGCAGCGGGACCAGACGATATTTCAGCAGAGGCACTGAAGGCGGACGGAGCAGTAACTGCAAAGATACTCCACATTCTCTTCAGCAAGATTTGAGATGAAGAACAAGTATCAACAGACTGGAAAGAAGGACACCTTATCATGATACCAAAGAAAGGCGATCTCAGCAAGTGTGATAACTACAGAGGCATCGCTCTTTTCTCAATACAGGGAAAAGTCTTCAGCAGGGTATTGTTAAACAGGATGAAGGACTGCGCAGACGCCCAACTTCGTGACCAACTGGCAGGATTCCGTAAGGATAGATCGTGTACAGACCAAATCGCAACTCTACGAATCATTGTGGAACAATCAATTGAATGGAATTCATCACTCTACATCAACTTCATTGACTACGAAGAAGCATTTGATAGCGGGGACAGGACAACACTATGGATCTGATGCAGATGTGAAGGCGCTGATCGGCAAAGCAAGAACAGTATATTTACAACTGAAGAACATCTGCAAGTCAAAACAATTGTCAACCAACACCAAGGTCAGAATTTTCAAAAATGTTGAGACAGTTCTACTGTATGGGGCGGAAACGTGGAGAACTACGAAAGCCATCATCCAGAAGACACAATTGTTTATTAACAGTTGTCTACGCAAAGTACTTCGGATCCGTTGGCCGGACACTGTTAGCAACAACGTACTGTGGGAGAGAACAAACCAGATCCCAGCAGAGGCATAGATCAGGAAGAAGCGCTGGAGGTGGATGGGACACACATTGAGGAAAGCGCCCAACTGCGTCACAAGACAAGCCCTCACATGGAATCCTCAAGGTCAAATGAGGAGAGGACGACTTAAGAACACATTAAGCTTAGAAATGGAGATATAAAAAGAAGGAACAAAAATTGGATAGGACTGGAAAGGAAGGCCCAGGACGGGGTGGGTTGGAGATTGCTGGTCGGCGGCCTATGCGCCATTGGAAGTAACAGGCGTAAGTAAGTACTTTGTGAACTTGCTTAGTACACCCGGGTCATATCTTGATTTATTTGTAATTTCGATGATGTATACCCTAGACATTTTCATCAATTTGAATGCGAAGTTATTTTAACTAAGCAGCTTATTTCCTAGACACTTAAATAATTAACGTAATATAGATTTAGGTGAATGACGAAAAGATAAATCACGTTGGATATTGCATCTGTCTGAAAACCCAATATTCCTAAAAGTTCTCCCACAGAATCTGGTGAATGTCGTTGGAAATATCCACTACTTAATATTAAAAACAAATGAATCGTCGGACCACAATACTAAAGGATGAATTATATAAAACTTAATTGACGTCGTCGTTGGTACATAGCTATTAGCTTTATTCTAACCTACATCAATTAGATCGCTCGGAGAGCAATTCATAAAGATTCTAACCTGACAATTGAGTTGCATTTGTAAGCTAAGAAACCTTCAATACTGTACATATATAGAAAATGTACGAAGAACCCGCAAGTTTCGAATCATAATGGACTCGAGGAACATTCTTCTATCAAAAGGAAAATTATTCCTCCAGATAAGTCTATAAGTATGGAATTATAGAGCGTAAATATAAACTAGGAAACTACACTCACAGTCAGAAATGGATACCAGTAGTTAACGGAATCCAAGGGATACCCAACACTGGAGAGTAGACAATTCATTGAAGGTAAACAAAGGCCTAGATTGTAGCGTTCTCAGAAGGAGAAAATAAGATTCTAGCCCAAGGCATGATTAAAATAAATCAATGCTACAAGAAGTTCTCATAATAACTGTTGGTATTCGTCACAATTGCTACTGAAATGATGTACTTGGATACAATTATAGCTACTTATAATTATTAAGTAGTATAGTGAGTATATAGCTAAAATCATGTAGATGTTAGAGGATAAATTTATCTTCTCTGTGCAACAACTTAATGTCCACACAGTCGCAGCTCATTGAACTACATAAAAAGATGAAAATTCTCTGACTCTCCCACTAAATAAGAGCTAACTCATGTTAATGCATAACCTATGGTTGACCTCATCACACATCTATGGATATTGATATCAAGAAGAATAGGATTCCCAACCATACTACACATCATTTCATCAGATCTATGATTCATCATCACTGACTACGAATGTAAAACATTACAAAGCTTGAGTGAATGACAAAATCACTCTGAATGAGGTTTGTGAATCGTCACGACTGAAGCTAAAGAATCACTGGACACCTGAGCAAGCACCACTACACAAGTTTGTTACAGACGTTTTTCGAGATGCTCCCAAGCTCAGACAGTTCAACGTAGCTCTCCGTATCAAGTCACAAAACTTAAAAAGCCTACTAGAATATAAAATCACCATGGAGAACAACTAGTAAGGGATTAAAGAAGTGACGACTTGAACATACTAAGAAGTGATGGGTCCAAAGAAGCATCAGAGCATACAATGAATTTCTATTAACACACTGGGTAAGATTCAGGGGGGGGTCGAGAAAATAACAGTTAAAAACAGCCGAATGAATGCAGTGAAAGTAGCTCTCAGATCGAATATACAGAAGCAAACAGACGGGTGGTGAAGAATATCGGAACCGATAGGCAGATATACATAAAGACCTAACAATTGCAGTGAAACAAGCTGTAAGAGAAGGAAACATGAAAAAGCTATTCGATACGGTGAAGAAGCTTGGAGGGAAATACAGAGAAGCAGAGCAGTCAGTCGGGAACAAAGAAGGCAAACCAATCACTGAGGATCAACAACAGCGAGATAGATAGGTAGAGTAGTGTGAATACCTATCGAATTGATCGGCATCGCTGAGCACAGCCAACATTGAGGCAGCCCCGCCAACAATCAGAGGAATTCTCAAAGCCACCAGACAATTCAGGAATGCCATAGGAATAGTTGGACTGAACAGCATACTAGCTGGGGCACTTCAATCAGATATGAAGGCAACTGCAAACCTGCTCCACGTTCTCTCCAGAAAGATTTGGAATGGAGAACAAGTATTAACAGACTGGAGAAGGATACTTCACCAACGTACCGAAGAAAGGAGACCTTAGTAAGTGCGAGAACTACTGAGGGAACACGCTACTGCCAGTGACTAGTAAAGTTTTCAAAAAAGTGTTGGTAAGCCGAAAGAATGCTTCAGTGGACATCCGACTTCAAGATCAACAAATTGTCTGACGTAAGGATAGATCGCATACAGACCAAACTGAGACACTACGGCTCATTATTGAATAACTAGCTGAATGGAACTCACTGATTCACGTCAGTTTCCTTCACTATACGAAACCCCTCTACCGAACGGATAAGATATTCTTTGGCAACATGAAGTATATGGGAAGATCGTCACCATCATACAGAACTCTTACGTTGGACTGAGCTGCGACAGCGTGCATAAAGGATAACTCACAGGTGCATTCCAAATGAGGGCTGGTATCAGACAAGGCTACCTATCCTCCCTTCGATGGTCTTTCACTGGATTACGAAAATCTCAAGAGCTTACGAGAAGTGAGAAAAGCAGTAGACACTCTGGACACAGCTGGATGCCTTGGACTTTGCATATGAAATGGTCCCGTTATCTCAT